CCTGGAATGGGTGGGGGGCGGGGGCTTCGGGCACCTGGCCGAGCAGTTCTTCAGCAGGCTCTCCAGCGTGGCTCACCTGCTGGCCATGCCAAGCTCCCAGCTGGCGCAGGTGAGATGTGCCTGGGCTTCCTGGGCCAGGTGTCGATGGCCTTTGGGGCCCAGGTCCTCGAGGTTCAATGGGACTCAAGTGGGGGGTCTGGGCCCGTGCTCCTGCAAGTGGCAGGGGAGCGCTTGTGAGTTCATGGGGATTGGTTGGGAGGCCACTTACTGGATGGGGCTCCCCCAGCCTGCGCTCCCCCCGCTAACTGAGGGGTCCTCTCCCCAAGGCAGGGAGCCAGAAGGAGCAGAGTCTCTTTCGTAGGCAGCATCATGGGACATCAAAGGCCTGCTCGTCAGAGCAGAGGGTGTCAATGGCATGTCCCTGACACTGGGCCACGGCGGGAGCTCCCTGAGGTCGGAGTGGAAGGCAGGGTCCCTCCAGGAGCTGAGAGACTCGGATCTGTTTTGTGTGCTGCTGGGGGAATTTGAGCCTTCCCGCCGCACACGGTGTCGCTCTCGCGCTGGGCCAGGCTTTCCAACACGGCCTCCCGAACGGTGCCTCTGGGGGGCACCTTTGCAAGCTGCAGGCAGGGAACGTCTCAGTTGCCCCATCGTGCATGCCCATGCGCACTGGCTCTGCTTGCAGAGCTGGGACAGCCAGTGGGGAACATGTGGAGTAAGGGGCCGAGTTGCGGGATGGATTTGCCCACAAGGCTATTTTCCAGGGACACCTTGTTTCAAAGCCAAGCCTTGGGGACAGAGCCTCTCCACCAAGCTCTGCCCCCATTTTGGCAGGGAGCAGCAGCACGAGGCTGACCGGTGGGCGCAGGCAGCGTTTCAGGCTTTCTGGGTCTTTACATCCTGGCCTGGGCGTGGTGAGCGGCTCACATGTCAGAAGTAGCATGAAGCAAACACAGGGCTGAACGCAGCGCGGTGCCCTGCCTCAGTGGGGCAGCTGTCCCTTCACTCATCAGGCCGCTTCAGGGCGGCTCCCTTGCTGAAGAGCCATGCTAAGCTCATTCCCACTGATAAACCAGCGTCTCTCCCCACCTTGCTCTCTGGGCACTATCGTGAGGCCTCCAGCCTGGCGCTCTCTTTCTTTGCTCAGATGACCTGGCCACTACTGAGGGCCGAGTTCCCCGCCCTGAGCCCCGCACAGCTCCATCATGTCCTGACCCAGTACCAGGCAGCGTCCGACGTGGGGGGTGTTGTGGCCTGGCAGCCCTGGCAGGATGACGTCCCTGCAGCCTTCAGGACAGGTGAGTGCACAGCGCCGGTGCTGGGAGAGCAGGCTGCGTTGCACCCGGCGGGGGATCTGGGCAGGTGATCAGGTAGTGTCCTGTCTCCCCCGCATGGCTGACGGCCTGTGAAACCTGCACTAGGACCCAGCCCAATAAGTGTCTCTCTCAGCCCTGCCAGTACAGGTTGGTTGTCCTGAGCTGGGCTGGTCCCCGGGCGTGTTTTCATTGGGCGTGGGATCTCCTGGGCCTGGCAAAGATTCCTGCGTGACGATGGGACCTCTGCAGCCTGTAGCACGAGCGTCTCCTCAAAATGCCCAGAGGCAAAGGGGGTTGGGGCTGATGGCTGAACCGGGTCTGACGGGAGTCAGGGGGCATGTCCCACGTGTGCTGCTCCACCTAGACACGCCGCCGGAGCAGGGGCTGCAGTGTCGGCCTGTACAAGGAATGGCCTGAATCCGGTTGGAGCCCCTCTCGTGCACTTCCGTGCAGGCTGGGGGGTGGGGGGGGGGCTGACAGCATGGAGCAATCAGAGTCGTCCCCAGCGACTGTTGTGGTACAGAGGACAGGAGACTCACCGGCTGTCTGAATGGTGGCTGCACGCTGTGCTAGCAATGCCAGTATCGGTCAAACTCCCGGCCTGGGGGCCAGTCCCAGATGGAGTAATTGCACAATCTGGCCTGGGACTTTGTGGAGGACGGGCCGTCCATTACTGTCCCCCAAAACCCACCCCTTCCCGTCAGCACCCCGCCCCTTCCCCCCATGGTACCCTGAGCGCACG